CCATGTTGTAGCCCACTGGGAAAACCACGGCATGTTCATTCCACAATCGGAGGGTCCGTGGGAGAAAATTTCTGAAACCGAACTGTACGGGACCATTTGGGCTCCAATGTGTGAGCGTGAACCCCCTGTCGATGGCAAGCGGTGCGATGATAGAAAGTGGCCGTGGGCATCATATCAAACAATTCCGCAGAACACAACCCATTATACAAGCAGTAGTAGTAGTAGTACGCACAAGGAGGCAAAATCTCTCCTTAGACTTAAGTGGTCGATACCGCCCGTAAGTATTTTTGTTTAAGCGGGGAAAATCTTCGAATGTTTGCTCCCGCCTGAGTGAGGCGGGAGGGAGTGTCAGACTCTCACTGACTAAAAACCACCCCGTTCCTTCTCATGCACGTCGAGCCGGAGACCCGGTAACCCGTTTGGTTTTCCGCGACACAGAGGATAGATGGGTGGCTCTTTGAGGCGCGCGAAATGGAACGCGCTGTACGCACGTGTCTGGTTACACGCGCTACACGGGCGACGAACTACAGCTACCAACGAACCGTATACTTCAATATGAAAAATCTAGTGACAACTTGAAAGGTTGTTGAGAAATCCAGTATCAGAGATCAGAATATAAGAAAGAGAGTACCTAATGAAGTAAAGACCGGACAAAATGTTGCACTGACATGACTGACATCAAATAAATAATTTGACACAAAGTTACAAAGAGCAGAGATAATGATGGTAAGGGTCGGCCTAAGAGATCACGTGCTAATCACCAACTGCTAATACTTACCATGGCCTGACTGGCTGACTGATTCATAAGCGCAGAGTCTAAACTATCAGGCTATAAACATAAAATTCTGACTGTTGTTTATTCACGTTGTCATGTAGTTAACCACCCACTTAGGCTAACCCCACATTTGGCGTACGCGATCCTCGGGCGTGGGACCTGCACGGAGGCAGCGCGCGTGTAGCGCACGCGCTGCGCGAGCGTTGGATGTTACCGTGTGACGTGTGTAAGACGTGCGCGCGGCCCTCGCCTTGGCGTTTAACCCCCTTCAGACAAGTCAGTCACAATTTGGCCGGTGCCTTGTTAGCACACGTCCATGCGTTACTGTTCTACAATCACTAACAAAATGGACTCAGACGAGGAAACACTACTGTTAGCTTTGCTACTAAAAAGAAATGACTGCCTCGTTGGCCAAGTGGTCGTAAGTGCGACTGCCGGGCAAGAGGTCTCGGGTTCGATTCCCGGGTCGGGCAAAAGATTACTGGGTTTAAAAAAAATCTCAGTAGTAGCACGGAGTCTGTAAATGTGCCCGGTATATGGCAATAGGCTCACCCCCTATTACATGGGTCTTATAACATAAATAGTGAAAAAAGTGGGTGTCACATTGTACAGTAACAGTACAGCATTAAGTGCCGAAATGTGCCTCTGCCTACCCCTTCGGGGATAAAAAGGCGTGATGTTGTGTATGTATGTATGTATGTGGGTACTAAAAATACATAAGACACGTAACAAGAAGACTAAACGCCTATGGCAAGATACATTATGGTCTTCTTGTTCACAAGAAAGTGATTACTATATTTTGTATTGCAGACATATATTTATTTATTTATTTATATAATCTTCTTCACAAAATAAGGTGAATGGCGGACTTAATGCCTTAAGGCATTCTCTTACAGTCAACCATAGGGAAGTGCAGAGAAATGAAGTGGTTGATGCGAAGACAGACAACAATAAAAAAAAGGTTATGTAATATGTATACTACACACATAAATACCTATAGAATAAATATATTAATACAATATTTTATAAATAGACACATACATACCATATTTATAATATATACTACTAAACAAATACTTATACTGCATAAATACTACAATATATTATATAAAAAAAAGAGAACGTTGTTAGAATAGTTTCCTCAATTGTTTTGAGTCTGCCAATGCTTAAGTAGTTGCTCACGGACTTTAAATTTAAAGGTATTGCGACTTGTTGCCATTCTGATCTCCTTGGGCAACGCATTCCACAGAATAACAGCTTGAATGAAAAAGGAAGAATGAAATAAGTCAGTGCGATGAGAGATACATTGAAGATGTCGGTTTTGAGACGAACGAAGAAATTTTGTGTGGTTTGCGCACGTATATTGAAAGTAAGAAGCAAGGTAAGTAGGTGAAGAAGGAGTGTCAAGATAAGAGAATAAAGTGGTTAATGCCCTCTGCTGCCTGCGCAAGCGTATGGGCAGCCACTTCAGTTGCATCCTATGTGCAGAAATATGATCATATTTACGTAAGTTGAAAACGAATCGAATGCAGTTATTTAGAAGTCGGTCTAACTTATTGAGTAGATCTGCATTCAGGTCGTAATAACAGACATCAGCGTAATCAATAATCGGGAAAATCAAGGTCTGCACAAGCTGCGTCTTCACAGAGGACGGAAGAATAATATAAAGAATAATGAAAAGCTTTCGATGTTAATTTCACTCGGTGCCTTCATTTTTAACGCGTGTCAACACACCACTGTCCACCATGCGACTGACCGAAACAGTAGCGGGCGGCGGAGATTGCGGGCTAAGGGGTAAGATCGCGACTCGAGCGTCGCGAGTACGCCGCGCGCACCGACCGACCGACACGACCCGACGCTCACGCAGCGCGCAAGCGGCGCTCGCGCTACTCGCACGCCTGAGGATCGCGCACGCCAAATGTGGCGTCAGCCTAAGAAATTGTTTTAAAAATCCACCCCTTAGAGGTCAGAATAGAGGATGATACTAAATATGAAACAGTTTTGCATTTCTCTTATTGAGGTAAAACAAATACATATATCAGGAATTTTGAAATTTTACGACGTGATGAACTAGGGGTTATAGGTTTGTATGAACTTGCATTATTTTTAATTTAAGGAACACTAAACTTTGTATTCATTTATTTATTTAACTCGTCGAGTACCGTATTTATAGACACAATTAAAGAACAATAGGTTGCGGTCACCGGTGACCGCTTGGTGTTTGACAGTTTAATATGCTTTATGCACAAAATGTATAAATATGTAGGTGGAGTTATTGCCGCAGGCATTTTCTACCAGGCTGACCTTTGGGTGATGCAGAGAAATGGTAGGTGCAAGAGGCAAGCAGTGATTTTATTTAGCATAAGAAACAAACTAATATATTTCAGAGATATACATGAATAAATATAATTATAATATATACCTACACATGAGTACAATATACCTACTTAGGCTAAGAATTGAAAGCAATATATGTAGTTTTTTAGGAGTACTGGATATTTTATCCAATTCTAGCTGACCCACGAACTTCGTACCGCCTTAAAATATTTTTCTCATCTTTTAAACCTTCCCTGGACTTCCAAGAACATTTCAAGACCAAAATTAGTCAAATCAGTTCAGCCGTTCTCGAGTTTTAGCGAGACTAATGAACGGAAATTCATTTTTATTTATATAGATGGCGTGAAATAGTGGTCGAAGTATGTAGGTAGGACTATACGAATTGCATTATGATTGGAGTATAATATCTAGAAACGCATAGGATTGAAAATAGGAGATTTCATTTAGGCAGCTTCGTCACAAAGTCCGTAATCGAGCGAAGCCGCGGGTATTCAGCTAGTATAAAGGTAAGTAAATAAAACAAAAAAATAAAATTTTGTTATTTATTCATTTCTTACTCTCGAATAATATAAAAAATCGGCAAAACTTTTTAAGTACAAACAGAGAATCCAATATTCAGTCACATAGTCAAAATTAACTAAAATACATTTCAAAATGTATCTATTAATAACAAACATGCGATATTACAGACAATAGTTATATTAATTATTAATTTAAATAATAAATGAGATTATTAGAACATCGAGATGGCACAGAGAGATATTTATAACTATATCGTGGCAGGACAGTGTTGCCAGTATAAAAAATCACAAGTGAAAGGCAAGTTCGAGTTCACTTACAAATAAACTTGTGAAAAATAAGATAAAACATAGAAATACTCATACATAAGATATATCAACATATATCTTGTCGAGTATCCTGATAATTCTCTCTTTACATGTGTGACTAAGCTTAACAATAAACAGTTTTCACATAAAATAATTATAAATATTAAATTAAATAAATGATCTCCATGAAATTACAGAATAATGACATTTTCTCTATAATTTGATTAACTATTATATAATATTTTTTGTAGAATTTTTCTAAAAAAGTTTTCTTTGAATAAATTGCACGTCCTAAGGCACTTTTTGTTTTAAAATGCAATCTCTATCAGTCGCGTTACCGAATGTTAATAAATATGTCTATCCTAGAGAATATCCGTCAATTTGATAGGCTACAACCGTTACTTACTTACTAAAATACAATAGTTGGCAAGTGGTATATAAAAAAAGACTTTACAACGAACGATAAAAGGTTAATATTGCTTTGGTTGGTGTGGTAGACTCGCGCGGCGGTCACTGTCAACATAGAAAACATGTTTTTAGTTAAAAAAAATGGGATTTTTTTTAAGGGGTGAAAATCATCGAATGACTGCTCCCGCCTGGGTGAGGCGGAAGGGAGTGTCAGACTCTTACTGACTAAAAACCACCCCGTTCCTTCTCCTCCACGTCGGGCCGGAGCCCCGGTTACCCGTTAGGTTCTCCGCGACTCCGAATCGGCATCGGCCCTGTTGGGCCCCATCTGTGGTGGTCTGATGGCTCTTTGAGGCGCGCGCGGAACGCGACGCGCCGTACGCTCGGGTCTGTTTCTGGTCGGACGGGGAGCCGTGGGGAAAAAAATGGGATAGAAGGCAAACGAGCAGACGAAAATGGAACCACAACACTAGTGTTGAGGCTTTTGAAAAATATTTAAAACCTAGCTTCTTATATCAGCTTAGGCCGCATTCCAATTAAATAAAAAGTGGCCTGTGTTCCACACTATAACCTACCACTGTTCCAAATTTCATATCGATCCCTTCAGCCATTATGTCGTGCCGTAGGAAACAAATTTTCATTTCGTAATTTTTCTATTTACTCACCACAAATCTGTTGACTTTGGGAACGAAGGTTTTTGTAACATTCGACTGCGTCACGTTCATGCTCTCGAACTTCTGACGCAAGCTGCAAACACAATATTATAAAGGTTATGTACTCATAAACACATAGGTCGTTTTCACCCCATCCATCAATTAGAAAATGTAATTTAAAAAGGCACCCCCTAGATACATCTATATATATAAAAGAAAGTCGTGTTAATTACACTATTTATAACTCAAGAATGGCTAAATCGATTTGGATGAAAATTGGTGGGGAGGTAGCTTAGTACCAGGAGACGGACATAGGATACTTTTTACCCAATTCTTTTTTTTACTTTTTACTGAAAATCACGAACGGGAACGGGGAAAAATGGGATTACGCGTACGAAGTCGCGGGCAGAAGCTAGTTATATATAAAACTTATAATGAATCAGACCTTTAGTTTCCAAATCAGTATCTTGAGTACCGTACCAGTATCTTACCGTTAGTAAGATAATTATTTCTTTTTACTTCAGACGGGATAAAGATGCTGATTACGATGACAATTAGGTACTTGCTTTAATCAAAGATAAATTATTTCGACTGTTCAATACAATAAAATATTACATTTCATTTTGATTTTACGACCAACTTCATTTTAGTATTTTTCCAGCAAATATTTAAGATATACTCGTAAGTATGCTGTTTGACGCTAGAAAACCGTGACGTCACAATACACAATCTCTTACAAAATTCATAGAAAACTGTCATTATTAATATCATGAAGTATTGAATTTGACTACTCGGCAAGTATCCGATTATAGTTTCATAACGCGATGAATAACGAAATTACCTCTTAGCGGTTTCGAGCTGACTCTCCCCCTCCTCGTCATTCTCTGGCTGTCGTTGTATGACGACAGTGGAGGGCGAGCGTTGTGGTTCCGACTCCGACCAGTTCTCGAAGCGGTCGCGGAAGCTCTTCGTGCGAGCTAATTGCTGAGCCTGTGAAATTTAGAATTCAGATGTGATTTGAAATGATATCCTTACTAATATTATAAATCAGAAAGTGAGTTTGTTTGTTTGTTCCACTTTCACGCCGTAACTACTGAACCGATTGCTTTGAATTTTTGCAGACGTAAAGTTAGAAGTCCGGATTAAATAAAAGGGTACTTTTTATCCCGGAAAACTTTGATATTCCCGAGGGAAAACAAAAGTATTGGTATAGATGGCGCTGTGTGTATTGATATATCTCACATAGGCTACTTTTTATCCTTTTGTGACGCGAGCGAAGCCGCGGGTGAAAGCTAGTAGGTAATATTCGCTACTGGCTGAAGGGTTTGCAATATAGTGTTAACAATTAAATATGAGGCCTCAGCCTGGCATGAAACTATGTGAGTTGTCTCGTTAAACTGTTACTTGATTGAGACTCTTATTTTTTCTCCTCATTTCTTGTCTAAAGTACTTAATTAGTTTTTTATAGTTCAAAATTAATCAAAATATTTATCCCAATAACATAACATAACATCACGCCTTTTTATCCCCGAAGGGGTAGGCAGAGGTGCACATTTCGGCACTTAATGCCAACGTACAATGTAACACCCACTTTTCACTACTTATGTTATGAGTCCCATGTAATAGGTTTAACATTTCCAGACTCCGTGCTACTAATAAGATTTTTAAAAACCCAGTAATTCACCCGACCCGGGAATCGAACCCGAGACCCCTTGCCCGGCAGTCGCACTTGCGACCACTCGGCCAACGAGGCAGTCAGTTTATCCCAATATATTGCGAAAAAGACTGACCTGCTTAAGAGCTTCGTCCCTCTGTCTGGCTTCAAGGTACACTCTGCGACGCTCGTCCTCACTGTCCTCTTCCTCATACTCCTCAGAAGAGTACTCCTCGGAGGATGTGTCTCCGTGATGGTTGTTCTCGCCGGGAGGGGGAGGGGTAAACCTCTTCAAAGGTTTGGGACCTGTGGCGAGATAACAATATCAACTTTATCAGAATTGATGTTTATGGGTAAAATGTCGAATTTTATTAAGCGTGCCATCTGTTGATACATGAAATCAAATCAACTATTATTGCCTTAATTTGCCGCCAGAGTCACTAGTGGCAAATACCTTCTTTCTCGAATTCACTATTTATTAATATTTCAATCCTTCAAAACTGCCATTATTTAGGATTTCTACATTGACATTTGTATGTGACTTGGATATTGTGGTGAGGTGAAGGTATGAATTCAAAACCTTGCAAGTACCTTTACAGTAGTACACAAGTACATACATTACTTCTAAGTTTGTCATTAGAGTCTGAAATCGCCAACTTATTGTGAGCAAGGACAATAATTGAAGTATCATTAAATCGAACATTCCTTTTCCGTATGAGAAGAGGCCATTAAGGAATGTCGTTAGTAGTTTATCGGTAGATGTCGATAGATGGGTCCGTGTACAATCCAGTAGGTACCGTGCGCGTCGTCCGGTTTGTTCTGCTGGTGCTCGAGCTGGCGGAAGACGTGTATCATGCGTCGCGCCGTGTGTCTGGCGGCCGCCACGCCCGCGTCCGCCGCGCCCTCCTCGCTGCGGACCACGCTCGGCTCGTGGTAGATCTCGGGGGACGGGGACTTGGCGCGCTGGGACAATAGTAACAACTTCATTATACATTACTAGCTACTTCCGCGCGGTTTCACACGCTCTGCTCAGCTCCTATTGGTCGTAGCGTGATGTTTTATAGCCTATAGGCACCTTCAATAAATGCTCTATCCAACACAAAAAGAATTATTCAAATCAGACTTATAGTTACGGAGATTAACGCGTTCAAACAAACAAACAAAAATACAAAAAAACAAACTCTTCCGCTTTATATAATAAATAAGTATAAGATTATCATTCAAATGTCGTATGGTGACGGCACTGGCACACATTTAACATTTTTATTTATTTATTTATATAAAACTTTACCTAAACTATCATGACAGGTTTCTCCATTGCGATAGCTAGGTCTTTAAAAACTAAATCTATGTTACGTCCAAACGTAACAAAATCATAAAGAAAAACAAAAATAAACAAACTAAACTAAACTTCATTATCGGAAATAATAAAATACAAAAAAAAACCAATCCCACCCCTAACACACACATTGACAAATTGTTTTAGTGTGACTAAATCATAGAAGAATGTGCGCTGTCGTTCAAAGAATAAGGCTTATATTTGAATTACTGAGTAATCAATGCCACGTGTGTGCACTTATTCGTAGTATTGTTTTGTCAGAACTGTGTGTGTAATATTAGTTTTATGGAGAGGCAGTTGTGGCTTCACCGGCTTTGCGTACATTTTTGACTCCACACCATATCTCCTTCTTTAATAAATCTGTGAGCTTAAGTCATGTACTATGAATAAATAAATAAACACATTTTTCATCATCAAAAACAAATACGTAACAATAATGATTACCTGTGTCTGCCTGGGCGGCGTCATACGGAACTCCTTCCGTTCGCTCTTGGGCTTGTAAGTCTCGAAGAACTTGAATCGGTCCGATATGTCGGACGTCTCGATCTTCACGTCTTCCATCTTGTCGGCCGCGCGCACCACGTCCTTGGGGATGAAGGGCTGGAGGCAGAATGACATAATTTGTTAATACCTACTTATTTTACGGCAGTCATCAACAGCCTATAAGTGGCCACTGCTGACTAAAGGCCTCTTCTCATACGGAGAAGGTTTGAGCATTAATCACTACGCTTGCTCAATGCGAGTTGGCGATTTCAACCTTATAATTAGAAATTACAAAGTAATAGGCTCACCCCCATTGGACTCATAACATAAATAGTGAAAAGTGGGTGTTACATTATACAGTGCCGTAATGTGCACCTCTGCCTACCTATTCGGGGATAAAAGGCGTGATGTTATGTAATTTGAAATTATAAGTCCAGGTTTCCTCACGATGTTTTCCTGCACCGTTTGTCAGTGGTGTCTAGATAATTTAAGAAAGTACATATAACTCGGAAAAAGTCACATTGGTACTCGCCGTTGGTAGGTTTCGAACTCGCGCCCTCATGTATGAGACGCAGGCGTCTTAAACCTCCAGGCCACGACGACATAGTTTTGGGATGATAATGACAGCTTTCGTTAAGTTTACACAACACATATAAAGAAGCTTAGAATTATGCCTGGAGTGTGAGAATAAGTTAACCGCTTTCACACACGACTTGTAATATGACTGGACAAGAAATGGGTGTTAGGTGCATTTTATATTATGTATGTATATCTGAACTATTTCTTATGTTGTGATTTTTTTTTAAATCGTTGCCCCACACTAGTATTATCTCCTGTGTAGTGAGTGCGTTTACAAACATACAAGTTCACATACACATGACACCGAGACCCGAAAAACAATTTGTGGATCACACAAAGTGTTGTTCCGTGCGAGAATCGAACCCGCGACACGTTGCACGGCAGCCGGTTGCCCACCCACCGCACCAACCGTGCAGTCAAAAATTAAGTGATGTAAGGCAATATCTAGTCTATTTTAATAACGTTTATATTCTTATTTTGATCCCTAATAACCAGCATAGTAAGTCAATGTACTCACAATTTCCTTCCGCTTGGGTACCTCCCCGGGTGGGGGGGAGGTGGGGGGCATGCTCTTAGCGTTCGCGTCCAGTTCCAAGAAGATAGAGCGGGACTTCTTGCCGATACCTGTAACATACACATAGTAATACTGATATTAAGATGTAATTTATTCCTTCGATGATCATAGACTGTTGAAAATTAAAATCTAATATATAAAATTCTCGTGTCACAGTTTTCGTTGCCATACTCCTCCGAAACGGCTTGACCGATTTTAATGAAATTTTTTGTGCTTATCCGGTATCTATGAGAATCGGCCAACATCTATTTTTCATCCCCCTAAATGTTAGGGGTAGTGCACCCCTAATTTTAATTTTTGTTTTTTAGACAAAATTTTTAATTTCTATTTTTTATGATACAACACACAAAAATACATACAATCCTCAATTTTCACCCTTCTACGATCCTTATTTTTTAATAGCTATTTTAGTAATTTAATCGTTTTTCCTCTCCGGTCAAAAACTGATCAATCGTCATTTAATTTGTAAATTATTTATATGGCAAAACAACGTTTGCCGGGTCAGTTAGAGTAAGAGTATAAAATTTAGTCTTCTGTCTGGTCCTTTATTCGACTGTTCTGACACCCAGGGAAATAGTAACAATGTATTGTACGCTACCGTCACACGGCTCATGAGATAATCGCTCGTTTACCCCCGATACCGTAATTTATTTATTTTACATAAGTACAGATACAGACGACAGATTGAAATCGTATACAAAAATCCAAACTATAATAAATAGTGAGTGAACCTGAAGTCCAACTACTAAACCTTGAATTGAATTTTGCAGACGTAAAGTTAGAAGTCTGGATTAAATAATAGGGTACTTTTTATCCCGGAAAAATTTGATATACCCGAGGGAAAACAAAAATATTGGTATAGATGGTGCTGTGTGTATTGGTATATGCCACATAGGCTACTTTCCTTTTGTGACACGAGCGAAGCCGCGGGTAAAAGCTGGTAATACAATAAACCGATATGACTGTAGTACTAACCTTCATTAAACAATGCTCTATCATCAATCTCCCGGTTCTTGGGCGGTTGGTTCTCATCGTTGAAGACCTCTCCATTCTCGAACCTCTGTTTGATGGCGCGCGCCTTTTCCGCGTTCAGATCCAGCTCGCGGGCTATCTTGTCTGCTGAGGTTACCCCTGGAGATAAAGAAAAGATTCAAAGTCAAAGCGTTTATTTCGATTAATCCTTGATTAGGCACTTTTAAAATGTTCAGTGAAGTTGTATTGAACAATTTACTGCACGGTTGGCTCGGTGGCTGGGCAACGTGTCGCGGGTTCGATTCCCGCACGGAACAATTCTTTGTGTGATCCACAGATTGTTGTTCCGGGTCTGGGTGTCATTTGTATGGGATATTGTGATATTGTATGTTTGTAAACGCACCCACGACACAGGAGAAAATCCTAGTGTGGGGCAACGTTTTAATGAAAAAATAAGAAAATAAGAAAGTTAAATGCTCGTTCCAAAGTGTAGTTAGTTTCCAATGGAGAAGAACTAGCAAGAACCTTCTTGTATTTTGTTAAAAATAAACAACGTTGTCCCGCATTACAATTGGGTAGTTTCCAGGGTAAGAGAATTAAAAATCTAATTAGTCTATCAGTTAGGTAATGGAAAAATATTAGACACGTATTTTTTTATTTTGTTGTATAAAGTTACAATACTTAGATGAAATGAAGTTAAGTTTAGGAGTGGGAGGTCGTTACGTCATAACGTGCTACATTTTGTTGCACGCTGTGACGTCCCACGACATTGCAAATCAATATATCGTCGAAAGCATTTAAATTTGTGAGAAAATAAAAAATACGTGTCTAATGTTTTAAAATAATCTACCAGACGGACATTAAAATAAAATTTAGGAAACTAGCCTATTTGTGGGTCACTTAAAGAGCTGTACTCTACAGACTACAGGCTCGAACTTGCGTCACTATTGTACTAGATTTGTTCATTTGTCTTTATTGTCGTAGTGTTTTAATGTCTATATTGTGATTTAATACAACCAAAGAGAGAATATTGTTTACTAAACAAATATCTAAAAGGCTAAATTAACTAAAATAGCGGGTTACTCACGTGTAGTTTCGAACCACAGAGGGGTTCTTCCTCATGAGCAGCGTATTTTCAGTATAATTCACGTGAGTAACTCGCGATTTTAGTTAATTTAGTATGTCTCACGATAGTTATTATAAAAACATCTAAAAGGCTATTTAAAATAGCTAAAGTGACTTTGTGTAATTATCAAAAATGCTGCCTACAGCCTATTTAATAAAGAAAGGGTACGTCGTACGGTAACCTTTGTAATCTTACCTTGTTCGCTCTGCAGAACTGACTGTTCATACATCTCCTTGATCTTGGCTTGCTTGCCCTGTAATCAAATCAAATATTACTTCAATATAACATTTCACAGATTTCACACAACACACAAGTGTGGGAGAGCCATGCTTCGGCACGAATGGGCCGGCTCGACCGGAGTGATACCACGGCCTCACAGAAAACCGACGTGAAGCAACGCTTGCGTTGTGTTTCGTCGTGTGAGTGAGGTTACCGGAGGCCCAATTACCCTCCTCCCCAATCCCTGAATTCCCAACGATCCTCAAACTCCTAATCCCCAAAAGGCCTGTTGGGTTGTAACGCCTCTGATGTTCCAGGTGTCCATGGGCGACGCCGATTGCTTACCATCAGGTGATCCGTCTGCCCGTTTACCGGCTTATGCCATAAAAAAAAGATGCCGCTACTAAAGTTTAGGTTGGGCATTCGAACTGGTAACATTACGTCTTTCGTATTTCAAGCTAATCACCATCAACAGCCTATAAGTCCCACTTCAGAGCAAAGATCCTTCTCACACGGAGGTTTGAGCATTAATCATCACGTTTGCTTAGTGCGGGTTGGCGATTTCAAGCTTATTTATTAGAAATTATAAATCTAGGTTTCCTCACGATGTTTTCCTTCACCGTTTGTCAATGTTGTCTAAATAATCTTAGAAAGTACATATAACTCGGAAAACGCAGAAGCAGGCGTCTTAAAGCTAGCCAATTTAAAGCTAGTAATTAAGAATAAAAAACTTTTAAGAAGTTATATACAACTCAACTTCATACTCATATACTTTTTTCTTAAGGGGGAAATCATTGAATGACTTCTCTCGCTTCACCCGAGGCGGGAGAGTGTCAGACTCTTACTGACTAAAAACCACCTCGTTACTTCTCCTGCACTTCGAGCCGGATCCCCGGTAACCCGTTAGGTTCTCCGCGAATATATTGAATGCAAAAGTGAGGATGTATGGATGTTTGTTATTCTTTCACTAAAAAACTACTGAACGATTTAGAATGAATTATCGTACAGAAATCGATTATAATTTAGAAAAAACACAAGGGTATTTTCTTCCCGGGACCGCGAGCGAAACTGCTGACAGGTAGTATGATAAAAGATCGTCTGCTCACCATAAACAGTCGGCTCCTAATATTCTGTATCTCCTGCTTCCTCTCGCGATGTCTGTCGGACGAGGAGTGTTGTCCAGTCTCGAACTTGCCAACGATCTCACTCATATTGCAGAAGGAGACTGGTTGCTCGCGGTTGGCTGTGTGCTTGTATGATTTCTTTAGCACTGAATCTTCATCTGAAATCAATATTTTAATTATTATAGAATGTAACCATCAACTAATAAAAACCAAAAAAAATACTAAACCTTATTTAGGTCTAAAAATCTATTATGCTATGAAAATCTATCTATATTATCTATAACGCGATCAAAAAATGTGAGTGATACCCTCAGGTGTTGCTTGCGGAACCGTTATGCTGAAGTGATGACATGTGTGCAGTGGTATAGAAAACGAATTGTTAGAAAAATCAATCAATGCTCAAGTATTTATACTCAGTTTTTCTTTCATAATGCTAAACTTGTAAAAATATTCCTTTCATTAAACATTACAATGTTGTGAGGTATAACATACATAACATCACGCCTTTTATCCCCGAAAGGGGGTAGTCGGAGGTATACTTTATGCCACTGTACAATGTAACACCCACTTTTCACTATTTGTGTTATGAGTCCCATGTAATAGGAGGTGAGCCTATTACCATATACCGGGCACAATTCCAGACTCAGTAGTGCTACTACTGAGAATTTTTAAAAACCCAGTAATACTTTGCCCGACCCGGGATTCGAACCCGAGACTTTGCCTGGCAGCCGCACTTGCAACCACTCGGCCAACGAGGCAGTTAGGTAAGGTATAAATTAGAATATAGGTGGAATGATAAGCGATGGAAGCTCCAATATAGACAACCTATTAAAAATCAACCCTTCACAGTTCAGTTTAGAAATAAATTATGCTGGTACACAATTTTCACTAAGAACCAAAGAGTATAATAAGCTAAGAACTGACCTTCTTCATCTTCTTCGGGCTCGCTGGAGCTCTGTTCCACCGGCACTCCGTTCAGATACTCGTCAGACACACCGACGTCCATGCCCTTCGCTTTGAACCTGAGTAGACAAAGAAGAAATATAATGTAGTTAAATCTAGGTAGACGGAAATGTAACAAATACCCCTAAATTTAAAAACAAATATATAGGCCTAATCTTTGAGATGAACGGAGTGGAGACGTGGACTATACCTTCATATTATAATTGAGTTGCCTTTCGGTATTCGGGGGTTAATTTTGAATGGATAAGAAAATAAGAATATAGGACACCTAATCCGGCTCTCACAACCGTAAATATCTCTTTAAATCCCTATTTCAAAGTAACATATTCTTAAACCCAACAAGATAGTCTATTATATCTAATGAATTACAATACAAAAACAAAATATTCCTTTTGTGGAAGTCTCACAAAATATATCTTACTATAATAACAATAGTTGACTTAAATCCTAAAACTAAACACTACTATAAATAAATTACCCCTTATCTGGTTTCTTATAAATATTTCTCATCCAAAGGTTGTCTGGAAGAAATCACCATTGTGTGATAAGACCGCCCATTGTACGCATTACTTGAATTGTTTGTTTTAAGCTACTTAATTGTGTACAATAAAGCATATATAAATAAATAAATAAATTAAGAATCATTTTATACAAATTCCCACCCGAAGAGAGCTTTTTATACCACACATACATCTTAAACTGTCAAACACCAAGCGGTCACCGGTGACCGCGACCTATTGTTCTTTAATTGTGTCTATAAATACGGTACTCAACGAGTTAAACAACCTTTCAACTATTATTAATTAAAATATAAACCAACAAAATACCTGTACATAACTCCAAAATATATTTAAACGCGTAAAAAACCACACCACACGAAACCCACTAACTAAATTCACAAGAAATATGTTTAAAAAAGAAATACACACGCCTTTCTCGAACACTACGTACAAAATGATATCCATCAGTAGTTTATAATTACAACGCTACTAAAACTCCCAGTTTATAGCATTTTCACCTTTATAGCTAAGAAGATAAGGGATATATAGTCTGTATACAGGTTTGTCGTTATAAAAAACTATGGAACATGTTGTCTGGGTGAAAAAATGTGGCTGGAGTTTTGATTGTATTTCGTTGGATGATGTACATTGCTTGGTTAGTATGGTCAATTGATTTTTGAGAATCTACCTCTATATACTTAAATAAAAAATTGTTTCCGTTGTTAGTCTCGCTATAAAAAGGGGACCGCTGAATGGATTTGGCTAACTTTGGTATTAAAATGTTCGTGGAAGTCCAGAGAAGGTTCAAGTATAATGCCGAGTATAATATAATTATGTAGTTTTTTTTATATTTGATGGGCCGATGTTTGACCACTATCTCGCCTGGTGGTAAGCGATGATGAGTTATTTTATTATTGCAATGAATATGAAGATATTTAAGTATTAAGCAATTTCAAGAATTATATGTGTTCGATATAAAATAAAATTTATATACTTAATATGTTTTTACCCAAAGGGATAGTCTGCAAATGGTAAACTGGCAGTGAATTTAATTATTCTAATTATGTTTTTAGTCAGAACAAAATATAGACTAAATAGGTTTTTTATCGAATGTCATTTTTAACGTTATTACTGAGAATTTTGGAAACCAAAGTATAACGTTTTGCACATATCAAAATCAAAACATTGTTATAAGCTCGAAAGAACGTTATTAAAATGAAATGGTCAACACCAGAGATGCATTGTCAACACAAAATTGAAAATTCATAATATAGCTAAGTAAAATCACTATTAACACCTTTTTCGACAAACAACAGACATGACTTTAGGCAATTTCTAATAAATCCCTAAACAACCAGCAATGTACAGCAACCATATCCAAATTCTCAGTCAGTAAGTACTTATGGCCGACGGTTCTCATGTGTACAGAAATAGAACTGCTGAAACGATGCGCTTACGCAAGTCCCAGCACGCCGGCTGAATCATATTGATACTTTCATGATATTCATGAATATACTGTGATCATGAAAATTGGTACTTAGTTTAAACTGTCAAACACCAAGCGGTCAGCGGTGACCGCAACCTATTGTTCTTTAATTGTGTCTATAAATACGGTACTCGACGAGTTAATGTAGTAGAGCTTTTGATGGTTATTTTGTGATGTTTAAAATTTTAATAGGTAATACAGTTTTAGAAAAAACATTATTTACATGTTTTGTGTTACAACATAACATCACGCCTTTTATCCCCGAAGAGGTAGGCAGAGGTGCACATTACGGTACTGTACAATGTAACACCCACTTTTCACTATTTATGTTATGAGTCCCATGTAATAGGGGGTGAGCCTATTGCCATATACCGGGCACAATTCCAGACTCCGTGCTACTACTAAGATTTTTTAAAACCCAGTAATACTTTGCCTGACTCCCTTGCCCGGCAGTCGCAATTGCGATCACTCGGGCAACGAGGCAGTCACTCGGGCAACGAGGCAGTCACTCGGGCAACGACTGCCTCGTGTTTTGTGTTATCTATATAAATAAAAATGATTTCCATTCGTTAGTCTGGCTAATTTTGGTCTTGAAATGATCGTGGATGGTCAGGGAAGGTTAAAAGGTGAGAAATATTTTTTTTTATGTGGTATGTAGTTTGCTGGGTCAGCTAGTTTTAAATATATATAGCAAGGGAATCATTATTTGGCGTCCCATAGTCTCTACCTACATCCATGTAAGACAGGCGAGAGGTTACATATGTATCAACATTATTTCTTAGAACAACACTTTTGCATTAAGTATAATATCACACCTTTCAATCCTCGAAGGAATTGGCAGTAATGTACTTATATTTATATAATAGAAAAAACTACTAATAAATGGACTAATTATAAATGTGGAATAAATGTGTTTGTAAAAACATCCACAATACATGAACAAATTCTCCTATGAGGTAAAGTTTTTTTTTTAAATAAACCAGAAGTAGAATGTTAGTCTACTTGAGTACAAAGGTTTTTGTTCATACTTCTTCCACCTTAGGATGAAGATGCGAACAGTGCACGGCAAGAAGTGATATTTTTTCTAACTTAGGTACTTTATTGGGACAAGCCCGCCACAAGCCACAACCTTCCAAAACCGCTGCAACTCCTGTAAGTCAGGATCTACAGTAGATACAACCGTTAATACACCGAAACACTGAAGTCCCAGGGACATGAATAACTCTTGGATCTCGCAACGTAATAAATCAGAAGGTTTTATACGAGGAGAGAGAAAAAACTACTTTCACTGTCTCGTTGGCCGAATGTCGCAAGTGCGACTGCCGAGCAATGGGTCTCGGGTTAGATTCCCGGATCGGGCAAAATACTACTGGGTTTTTAAAAATTCTCAGTGGTAGCACGGAGTCTGGCTCACCCCCTATTACATAGGACTCCTAACATAAATAGTGAAAAGTGGGTGTTACATTGTACAGTCGTATTAAGTGCCGTAATGTGCACCTCTGCCTACCCCTTCGGGGATAAAAGGCGTAATGTTATGAATGAGAGAAAAAACTATATATTATAGTAATTTAGGTACTTGGCGCTTGTTAAACTTTTGTACAAATTAGATACGTATGACGTATAACTTACTTGGCAAGCTTGGACAGTATGGCGGCAGTCTTCTCGCGCGGCACCCTGGGTTCCTGTGGCAGGGGTTCTTCAGGTTGCTTGGCTTTGCGCTCGAACACCTCGAACTTAGACTTGACGTCCAGCTGCGAGAGTTCCTCGAGGCCAAGGTCTGGTTTGTCTGATGCTGTTCAGGAAATAGTATTTGGCAATAAGTTAGGATAAAAATTATGTTCATTTTGCAAAACAAATCAAAAGTACTTAATTGAAATGACTTTTGGCTGGCTGCTTTGCAACATATCGTACCTAAGTAGGTTTAGTTAGTGTGTATTTACCACAATATTGATGGCAAAATATTATAATTTTACTTATTTACATTATAACTACTTAAACTACTATAGTATAATTGTATGGCAGCGCCATCTATGAACCATAACCGACAACAGCTACAAACCTCTAACGACATCTGGCGGCAGCTCGACTGGATTACTCTCGCAAATTATCATCTGGTGCTTCTTTGGGGCTGCTGCTGGGGAAGAAAGAGACTATTAATAATAAAATTGTTGTACAGAATGAATTAAATAATCTTGTTTATCAGACAATTCTCGTGTTTTCCCTGATATTGTTCTACGTCATAAAGCACAAACGAATTTCCGTCCACCAGGGACAAAATACCCAAATTACGTACTAAGGAAAATGGGTTGCGGATTCGATTAGCGCACGGAAAAATTATTTGTGTGATACACAAATTGTTGTTCTAAATCTGGGTATATTATTGGTTATGTATAATTGTAAGTTTGTAAAAGCTGCCACGAACACAGTATCAAGTTCTAGTGTAGAGTAACGTTTAAAAAACAATCAGAAATATATTCTGCCTCGTTGGCCGAGTGGTCGTAAGTGCGATTGCCGGGCAAGGGGCCTCGGGTACGATTCCCGGGTCGGGCAAAGTATTACTGGGTTTTTAAATATTCTCAGTAGTAGCACCGAGTCTGGAATTGTACCCGGTATATGGCAATAGGCTCACCCCCTATTACATGGGCCTCATAACATAAATAGTGAAAAGTGGGTGTTACATTATATAGTGGTATAATGTGCACCTCTGCCTACCCCTTTGGGGATAAAAGGCGTGATGTTATGTTAAGAAATATATACCGTCAGTGACGTCATCATCGTCCACTGGTTTGGGTTCGAACAGTTGCTTGAAGTGGGGCTTGCAGTACAATGTCGTGTGGTCACTCTGGTAGGTCTCCACTCTGTAACAGATACAGTAAATATAAATTAAACATTATTTTATACCATTGTAGGATGCACCTACGTTCCATTATTTATCATTTCATTAATCTGTACTTTCCTCATATTCACACTTTTTACTATTAGTTAGCTCACCTCTTTTCTTTAGTATTTTCTTCTTCTAATAAAATCTTATAATTTTTCTCTATGCAAAAATGTATGTACACACGGCTACACATCGAGCTTCTATAGTGCATTTTTATTTATATACATAGATAATTTCTTAGTCTTAATTGCGTTAATCTACTTACTTTTATTAAGGAATACAAGCAATCATACATAAAAAAATATGATTTTCTAACCAAATATGTAAAAGCAAAATCACATACCAACAGTTGGCTAGTTTCCTAGGTTTAAAATAAATTGTTTCAACTTTTCAATGCAATAAATAATTAAAAAATAATCATACTCTCATCCATTGATTTCACAATTACCTAATTTGGATATTTCCTTGTTAATTTTAAGGAAATAAGTGTGACATTTGACGCAGAAATATGATGACGTCATTAGTTGCGATCCAATACAAAATTCATGGAAAAGTATCGTTTTTGACATATCAATAAAAGTATTGAATTTGACTACCTGTCAACTACCGTATTATACTTGGATTAGAGCAATAAGCCCCCTATTACATGGAACTCATAAAATAAATGGCAAAAAGTCGATGTTACATTGTATATAAGAGCATCTCTGTATACCCCTTCGAGAATAAAACGAGTGACGTTATACTTGAACACCATATTCAAACGAAAATAATCCTTAAATCAATACTAACGTGAGTTGCTTATTGCACTGTACGCATCTGAAGCACTCTTTATGCCAGATCCTCTTCTCAGCCTTGATCCGTTCCATGGCGTACACTGGCCGGGAGCACTTCTCGCACTGGGGTATAGCGTCCGTGTCCGTCGCCGCCTTCATCTTCTTGAATAATTTCTCTGAACTTTTCGACTGGAAACAAAAATATGTATTTTAATTAGATTTGATAGACTTTAAGTACGATTTGGGTATTAGTATAATAAACTGCCTCGTTGGCCGAGTGGTCGCAGGTGCGACTGCTGGGCAAGGGCTTTCGAGGCAAAGTATTACTGGGTTTTAAAAAAAATCTCAACAGTAGCACGCAGTCTGGAATAGTGGCTGGTACATGGCAACAGGCTCACCCCCTATTACATGGGAGTCATCACATAAAAGTGAAAAGTGGGTGTTACATTGTACAGTGAGTGAATTGTAAATAGTAATTCACTTCTAAATAAGCCGTATGACGTCACCACACTTATTCATACTGTGGACTTGGGTGTTACACATTTGGTAAAGGCCGGGCTACAGCGGTTTTTGATGACCCCAAACCTAACACATCAAACGCCATGGGGGTCATCGGTGACCCCCGTTAGCAGAGGATTTGCCTTCAACAGTTCTCTATTGGCAGTCAAAACCTTAAACTGTGTTCTTCAAACTGATCTTTAAGTCTGGAGATAATGGCAAAATCAATTCAATGTAGAAAAGGAGAAGTATTTAGCAGTGTATTGTTGCGAGCTGTTGATTATAATGGTGTCTAAAATTCGGTTTGGAAGACGTGCAATAGGGTAGTTTCCTAAATCTTATTTTAATACCCGTCTGCTACAATAATTTAAAACTTTAGATACGTATTTTTTCTTTTCTCACAAAATTAAATACTGTCGACAATATATTAATTTGAAATATCGTGTGACGTACCAGCGTCCCACATTTTGTAGCACGTTATGACGTAACAAACTCCCACTCCTAAACTTAGCGCCATTTATACCGACTTCAAAAAAAGGAGGAGGTACTACGTTCGGCTGATTGTTTTTTTTTTATCTAAGTAGGTAAGTATTGCAACTTAATACGAGAAAATAAAAAAAATACGTGTCTAATATTTTTTCATTATCTAATTGACAAATTAGATTTTTAATTTTGATACCCTGGAAACTACCCTATTGTTATTACAATTTTACCCAATATAATGAAAATATGTAGGTAGGTATAAAACATGTTTTTACTCACCACCGATATATTCCCTTCATCCTTATGCCGTCTGGACTTGGTCTTCTTCTTGATAGTCCTCTGTTCTGAGACCTGGACCTCCTGGAAACTCCTCTGAACCCTCGTCTCTGATTGGATGAGGGATTGGGAGGACTCCATCGTCGCTGACGCCGTAGCTAGAGCCATTCTTTTGTGCTCTGAAATAAATGAGGGTAGTTTGAATTTTTTGTGGCTTTTTGGGTCATGAAATTAGCTATTTTGAAGTAACTAAATTATTTTATCGATACGTGATAGTGATTGGGTTCGATCACCGGAATGGAATAAAATATCGGGACTTGTTTAAACTTCCCGACTTATGATGAGGTTGTATCAGTTGTGATTATTCCTTAAATAATAAGTGTAATTCTAATACCTATCTTTAGAATAAATAATACAATATTGAACATCACATTTACTTATAACCTCACCGTCGTCATCTACTAACTAAAACATCTGCTTTTTTAAATATTTGATGGGTCGACGTTCGACCACTATCTCGCCTGGTGGTAAGTGATGATGCGGCCTACGATGGAGCACGTCGACCTATGGGCATCAACCTATTTACTAGGACCTTGAAGCCAAACTTACTAAATCACAATATAAAAGTACTGGATTTTATAGCTTAACATTAGTATCAAAGTTAAATAAAAATCAGTAAAAACCATTAAAATATTTGGTTGAAAACAAAAAAGAAATTAAAAGTGAATCATAAATATTCAAATTGACTATGAATAATGTGGGTAGAGAAAGCGCTAGTACCTAACCCACTGTTTATTTTAGCGAACAAAATTAGCATTTTTACACAATTATATTTAGGAAATAGACCTTAACTAATGGTAATTTTAACCTTAACTTTGGCTAGATTTTAGTAATGCGGACATGAGATTAGCTTAGCTCAGGTTTTAGACATTCTAACTGTCACGGATGGGGCCCAATAGGGTTGATGCCGATTCGGAGTCGCGGGGAACATAACGGGTTACCAAGGCTCCGGTTCGAAGTGCAGGAGATGGAATTGGGTGGATTTTAGTCAGTAAGTCTTTTACTCCCTCCCGCCTCATGCAGGCGGGAGAAGTCATTCGGTCATATAAGTTACATTTGTTACATCGATCCCTACTCTCTTCAAGGGTTTCCTAGTCGTAAAAACAGACTAAAAGATTACTTAGTTGAGATAAAATGTACCTGCATATACAGGAAAGTAGGGTTATCGAGTAAGCCTTTTTTTGAGGGGAGAAAATCATCCAGTGACTTTTCCTGTCCGGGGTGAGGCGAGAGAATGTCATTCTTAATGACTAAACATTTAAATTTGGATACCGAAAACAGTAGGCGATGCATGTGGGACTATTTTACCACCTGTAGTTGTCATACTTCGTGCAAATAAACGTTCTTATTCTTATTCTGAAAACCACCCCGTTCCTACTCATGCTTAATACCGGAGCGCCAGTAACCCGTTAGATCGTCAGCAGCTCCAGATTATCTAATAAGCCTAAACTTTTAATTTAAAATCCGCGATCAGCCAACAAAGCGTGGAGATCTTAGCAAACCCTCTTATGGAGGAGGGGAATCCACCTCCAGTGGATGGTTAGAAGGCTGTAGATAGTAACGATGATATTATCTATGCATCGTTTCATGATGAATACAAAATTTAAAAACAGTATTTTGCAGAGTCAGCAGGTTCACTTTAGCGATGTCATTCTATCTTAAAAAATTGGCTAGCAAGTCACTTGAAAATGAATGTAGGAGCATCAAAATAAGGAAATGTGTCAAGGATTCCCACACAAACTGCGAACTTGGCACGTTTTGTCAAAAACACTTGACGAATGAGAGATCTGACGTTGCAATGTTTCCGATGACTCTGCTGCAATGATTTTGTAGTTTTGCTCAAGTTGTTAAAGTTGTAGTAGGTACGTTTAAGATCAGATTTAACTGTCCGCTGTTTTATCCATTGATTTATGCCTAGACCCCTGTTGTCAGAAGAAGGTCTTAAAACACTGAGATTGGGGTTTGAAAAAATAGGAATATAATAGTAGGTATAATAAAGGTATAATATAATAATAGGTATAAGCCCGCAGGGCACCTTGAGGCGAGGTGACGGGCATTAGCGATCCCGCGGGCTACCATCATCCCGAGTGCTCCAGGGAGAAGTCACCGTTCCGTCTTCTCCGGCTTGCCTTAATTGGCTGGCTGGAGTGAAAGATGACAAGGAACAGGTCTCCCACCTCTGGCTTGCCTTCATTGGCCGTCCAGAGTGGAGTCGCGAGAGCAGTGAACCTGCTCGGAGGGTAAGAAACTATTCGTAAGTCGCGAGTGGGCCAGGGATGCAGGAGGCTTCGGCTGGAGCAGATGATCTGAGTAGAAAGCGGTGGTAGTTTCTTAACCCTTCAGCCACTCACATTCTCGTTGCCCCTCTGTTGCTATATCTAGCAACCATTCCCGGGGCCCGGTCGGTGAGTTGGCGAGTCTCCGCCTGCCATTTTTACGTGTAAAAATTACATTGTTTCGGCAGGTGTCATAGTCATCCATAGTTCCCAATTTACCAGTCCACAACAACCCATCCATAGCCCTACCTTTTTTTCCATTATTCACAATAGTCCTACACTAACCGGGGACTGTCCTTGGGTGCATTTCCATAGTGCATACAGGGATAGTCGCCGGTTTGTGTGTCCATTACATTTATATTATAGTTGTCTAAAGGGCCTCTGCGCAGTTGGCTTCGGCCCCTCGTACGCCTCCCAAATGACCGGGACCCTGTGGTCCCGTGAATGGTAAAGGTATAATAATAGGTATAAGGTTTTCTTCTCGTTAACAACATTCGAATAATCAGATAATGGTGCTAGTTAGTACACTGATTACTTAGAGCATATTATCAAAGATGATGGGAACAATACAGGCGAGGTTGATTTGTTGAAAAGACAAACGTTGATAGCAATGCCAAGTTTCAGTTTGCAACCACCACAGTTCACAGATAACGGATATGCAAAATTCGCACGTCACTTATCGTGATCACATACGGAAACAAAAACATATGAATCTGAGAATCAAATTAATTCATTAGCAGGTAGGTAGAGGTCTGCGATGCGCGACCAACGTTTTCTAATGCCCCATCGTGTAGACACGCAAACGTCTTATGTCCGTCAACGAATGGCAAACTGAAATTATTGTTTAGAGAAGAAAACACCGATGTTTAAAAACTTTGAAACCAGAAGATATAAATATGAAAATCTTGTGTTGCAATTCGATGAGCGTTGAGAAATATGATAGAAAACATACAATTGAAACTGTTGGCTGGAGAAAGCTGAAATTCGGTACCTATATAGGTCTATTGAGGTGTGCTGAGCAGCATTTCCTTATATCCAAGATCTCAAAAACCAAGGTTTCCTTGACAATAAGACACGACATATCTTTCAAAGAAAACCAAGTTTTTTTCAAAGCACTTTCTCATAATTTTGAGGTCTCCTAAAATTCTTCCTTTTAAGCTACACAATAAAATATCAATTACCAAAAGCCACTGGAGCCATGATGAGCATTTTCGTTTCTTTTTTGTAACAACTAGTCACTAAAACACAGCACACAGTTTAAAAAATAACTGTAGAATAAGCACTAATCACTTTTTCAGAGAGATTACCTTCCGACTCGCCGTCGCGGATGCTTTCGGGTAACTGAGAGTAATTTAGCAAAACATATGATATTTATACAGTAAGATCTTTTTACAAAACATTGATTCATTGATGAGTATAATTGGAGTATTACAAATTATGTGATGTGTCTATCTATCGTCATAGGACTGTAGGACGTAAGACTGATGCATCAGAGAAGGTCGAGGTTGTGAAGTGACGAGGCTAATATGTGATGGTGACACCTGCGTAATATTATGTCGACTTAAAATTACTCCTTTACCTCTTGGTACACCGTCAACTATATAAATGCTGAGAAAGGGCCTCTTCTTACACAGAGAAGGACAGCCTAAGCCTAACGTTTTTATATTTTTTATGATAGCATACGCAAAAGAAAAACCAGGGCCAGAAGGACCACAGAGCAATGAGAACAAACATAGTGGTGTTATTTCCATTTGGTTTCTTCATTTTTGTTTTAATGATTAGGCTACAAACTGTTTCAAATAAAAGATAAGTTTACATCTTCAGTAAGTATTACAGCCTCAAAGAGTTACAAATATTAGTCTCAATAAACATATTCCAGCAACAAGTCTGCTTACATTTATGTATGTAATATAGTAATATTCCCAAACAGTGGGACGAATCACCGAGATTGTTTCACGTGGGTAGTCCCATAAATGTTTGTTTATATAGGGATTTTTGGCGCCATTCCATGAACCGTTCCGTTTTTCATGTTTATTTGGTCTCCGCGTTTATTCCGAATTATGCAAAATTTCCAACGACGAAATGAATTTAAAGATTATATTTGGACTGAATTTGTCATGCGTTTATGTTTAAGTACCGAAATATACCATTATATCACTTTTTTGAGTCGTAAGGGATATAAATGACTGTATTTAGTCGATTATGAGCTGCTAAAACACATGCTACCGAGTTTAATTTCGGAAGACGCTAAATGTAATGACATTAGGAATATTTCGCAAGTCATTAAACTATAGATGTTCTTCATACACAGGTACGGGTGCAAATAATATTATAAGTATTTATCGGTAGGTACCTACTTTCTAAAAACACTTAATCTTACGTATTGGTGGCATTCAAACAAGCAGTTTTATCGCCAACCAAGCCCAAAGAGACGTTTCTAAATATTTGCTCAAAAACGCCATTAAAATAAACCTCTAAATCCTGTTTCTCGTAAAAACCCCGTCAGACTCAACCATATATTAGCGTGAAAGAAACAAGCTTACAGAACGTTCACAATATATTTATTCTCTTCGTTTATAGGTTAAAACTCCCGCACCGGCCGGTGAATCAGAACAAGAGTATGGCAACACTAAAAAGTCAATTTTCTAAATTTGGAACATCGCCCCAATTAAACATGGCGCTTAGAAATACGACACCTGTTTTTCTTCAATTACTTTTTGGATAAAGACAGGATAAAGGGAAATTGTTTTCAGTAGAAATTGTATCGAGAAGAGTTATTTAAAGACATTATGAGGACATTGCATATAACACTGATATGTCGTAAGCCACGAGAATATATTTAGGTTTG